GCCATGCATCCCTATGTGCTTCTGACATCAGCACTAACAGAAAGATAGCTGCTGAGGGTTGATGGCTTCCAGCCTATCCAAGAAAACATGAGCTCCATGCTCAGGGAGAGATTCTTCTAAGGAGAATAAAGAGAGTACCAGAGGAAGACACCTACACTTATGCACCGTGTGCACCCGTATATACACATACGCAGACACAAATGAATAGACCTCTTATAAAGAATCACAGATGACTGCAGATCGAAATCTGTATACACAGTTGCTGAAAAGGCCAATACCAAACACATATTTCCATTCTTTGTCAGCTAAGAGGGTCCAGAAACAATGAGACCCAGCTAGCACTCAGTGCCTAGATATCAGTTTCTAATTACATTCTTAACCAAAGATACCGTGTCCCCAGGGAAACAGCTGGCTGCAAAACTGGGGATGATACATGATAGACAAGATGAGCCTGGAATGGTTTACACTGGAGGGGGATCTAAAATTAACCAAAATGAGCAACGAAGCCCAAAACAAAAACAAAACTTGCATAATGGTGAAGGCATGTCAGAATGGCACAGGACCCACATGAAAGTGCAGAATCATGGTACCTCCAGATTACAAGTCAAATAACAGAATAGTCACAATTCTAAACTGATAAAATGGAACAGAGACACATAAAAAAATGGAACAGAGACACGGCTTCCATGAAAAATCATTTCAAGTACTTATACAGATGCTGTATCATGCATCAGGTAGACATGTCACTGTGATCTGAGAGGATGGTATGCAAAGAGGGAAGGTGACATTACAATGGAGAGGCATGACAAAAACTACCTCAATCAGACCACCCAAGTCGTGGTGACATATGCGTTTGTACAGTGCGATTCATGGGACAGATGACTTCTATGACCTTTCCTCCACTGGAATCGGGAAAACAAACTCTGCAAAGGGGAATTCTGCAAACTACACAGCTATCATGCTTCAAAATTGTCAAGACAGGCAAATTCATCCAAACCGAAAACTAAGAGACACTTAGAGACACCACAGGCAGGGTGCATGCCTGCGGTCACGGGGCTTTTAAGCTGAAGCAAGAGGATGTAAAGTTCAGGAGTGCAGCTCTGTTCCCCTTTGAGCTTGATCCAGGGTGAGCCTCACAAATTGGCCCCACTTTTAGAAACTGCCCGGGGTGGGAACATGGCCCAGTGACAGCACAGTACCCCAAATGAGGAGGGCAGATACCTCTTGGGACATGACTGGAAGGCTGAATGTTACAGTGTCCTTATCCACGTTGTGCTATTTCAAACTGATCTTTGATACCTTCCATTTCTTTCCCTAGCCCCATCACCACTTTCACATCTCAAATGCCCTGTGTTTTAGAACTCACGGACTCCAATTACTGCTGTCCATATATACACAGATGTAGAACTCTCTACTTCTCATGTCCTGCCTCCCTGAAGGAAACTGACTCTCCCTCCCTCAGCAAGGCATCAATTGCCAGTATGGAGTGGGACTCACTTTGTCACCTGATACTTTTTCAGGACTAAGTTCTCATTCTCCCTCTCAGCAGCTCTCATTAGAGCCACATGCCCCCCCCAAACACACAAACACACTGTTCTTTAAACTTGGAGCCTTCCTAATTGTATATCTTTTTAAACAATATCACCCAAAAACAAAAATCCAAAAAACCATAATCTAGTAACCAGTACATTTCAAGGCAAATTCAAGCCTTTTCGGGTGTTTTTTACTGAGTGAAGTTGAGTTATCATTTGGGCCGTAACAACTGCTCTGAAAGAAAGTCTTTGTCCCTATTGTTGAACTGAATGAGGGGCATCTCTAATCTACGTATATACGACTTCCTAAAGCCCATTTTAGCAGATGTCCTCTCTGGCTTTAAAAGCCCCTCCCACATCCATCCTTGGTCTTGAACTAGAAGTATCCTCCAATGAATACTTTATTCTCGATCTGGGTTTGCTGATGTTCTGAAAGAACCTCTTAACATCCCCTATGCTTGGGTCTCACTGGCATCCCTGAGGCTTTAGCATCAGTGAAGAGCCAGAAGTAGGCACAATCTTGGGCATCTTGAATTGTCATTACGTTTTCTTTCTACTTCCCTTTCATCTGATGGCTCAGCTGGTGAAGGCACCTGCTGCCAAGCCTGAGTGTATGAGCTTGATACCCAGGAACCAAAAGGTAGGCGAGTCCCACACTTGAGTCCTCCGGCACCTACGGTGAACCATCCAGGAGTCACACCACCACCACCTGCCCCGAATACCAACAGTCAGAACGAGTAAATACCAGGACATGACGGCACACACCTTTCATCTCAGCACTCAGGAGGCAGAGGCGGGCGGGGTTCAGAGTTTAAGGCCAGCCTGGTCTACAGAGCGAGTTCCAAGATGACCAGGACGACACAAAGAAGTCCTGTCTCGAAAAAAAACAAAGGTAAATAAATAATGTGATAATGATGGTGGCATTTCTTGTCAGGAAAAATACATTGTATATTTCAGCTTGGGCAAGAACAGAGGCTATAGCTAATATTCTCAGAATAATGAAGTTTCAGGAAAAGATAAAATAACCACGCTTCACCTAGCCCCTGTCAGAACTGTGCAGCACTAATCAGAGCTAGCACGCTGAATTACTCCACAGGACTCATCTGAGAACCAGGCAGGCCTGGATGGAGGACTGTGGGTCGGATTAACGTTGACAGCCATGTTAAAGTAGCAAAGTGGCACGAATGACGAATGAAGAATGCAAATGAGAGATTTTAAGAACTAGCAATCAATCAACTGGACGTGTTGAGAAACAATTATGCTCCTAAAATCAATTCGGCAACATTCCCCAATTCAAGTGCTTAGAAAGTTTACTTGCAGTCATGCGTGGTGGCCCGCGCCTCTAATCTCAGCACTGAGGGAGGCAGAGGCAGGCAGATCACTGTGAGTTTGAGGCCAGCCTGATCTACAGAAGAAAGTTCAGGACAGCCAAGGCTACACAGAAAAACCCGTCTCAAAAAGCAAAACCAAAAAAAAGTGCTATCACACCTATGTAGGTGTATGTATGTATATATATATATATATATATATATATATATATATATATATATATATATCAGTACATGTATCAATGTATGTGCGATTTTTATAACGTGTGTGTTCTATGTCTCATGTATGTATGTATGTATGTATGTATGTATGTATGTATGTATGTATGTGATATATATGTCATTTCCTTGGTGAAATCCATAGGGTTGGACTGAGATTCTGTCATCAATTACTGTTGGAATGTGGCTGAAAAGGAAAGAATTTGGAATCAGCTACCGAGGACTCGGGTTGGTTCCCACCATTAGAAGCTACTTCCTTACTCCCCAGTACAGTCTGATCCATCCAACTGGCAGTTTTCCAAGAGCTGAGTGGAAGAGAGAGGTTCAAATGATGCGAATACAGTGACAGTGAAGTGAGCCGAACGGATTCCCAGCTGGAAGTCACTAAGGTGAATTGAAAAGGTGTTTGCCTAGAGTTCTTCCTTCCCCGTGCCTGGGAAGAGGGCCGAGGTCCAGGCTTCGGAATCCCAGTCTCCGCTGAGTTCCTGGTGGCTCGCGGGCTCTCAGGTTGGGCGGTGTCCTCCCGCGCTTCTCTGGCGCCTCTGAGTGCCGCGGGCCTCAGCTAGCCAGGATGGGCGGACCTCGGGAGGCGTGTGTCTAGGGACTAATCGCGCCAGGCCTGGGGAGTTCCCGCTGGAGGGAAGCAGACCTATGGAGTCTGGCCGCGTCTCCATGGCAACCCAGTGGGAACCAGAGGCCATCATCGATGGGGTAGCTCAGGGACCGGCGGGACCGGCGGCCCATGCCAGCAGACGTCTCCAGAGAGAAAGGCAGGTAACCAGCAGACTCCATGAACCCTGGACCTGTCTCTTCCTTTGGCAGCAGCTAGCACGGGGATAGCAGGGACCACACTTGCTGGGCAAACTCAAGAGCCAAGCTTCCAGGAGACACAGGGCCTGTGCCTCAGTTTCCCTCTATTATTTGTCTGAACTTTCTGATCTAGTTATCATCTCCAGTGTCTGCTCCACTGCTGCAATTCCTGTGGTGTGAAAATGATGTGAATGGAGATTCCTCCTCTCTCCTTCCCTCCTCCCTTCCTTCCCCTTCTTCCTTCTTCTCCCAGTCCTCTTCGCCTCCCCCTCTTCCACTCTCTCTCCTTCTTTCTCCACTTATCCCCTCCTCCTCTTTTTCCTCCTCGTTCTTCTTCCTCTTCCTCCCCTCCTCCTCTTTCTCGGGTACTTAACTGTTTCATATATTTCTTAGGCGCGTTAAGTTCACTTTAACCCTTTGTTCATTTATTCTTACAGGTTAGTCCACTGACGGAAGAACCTCCCTTGGGGGGGAGGGAGCAGAAGTGGGCATCTGATTGCCCTGGAGCTAGAGTTGCGGGTGTTTTTTGAGACACCTGACCAGTGCTGGGGTCCTCTGTGCACTCTAGGCGCTATGCACTCCAACTGCTGGACCAGCTCTCCAGCTCCTATTCTTAGACTTTTTGTCCTAAATATCATGCTGTATTCACGCCATTAAAAGGTCAAGAAAGGCCAATGAAAGCATGCACTAAAGGCAAGGCGTAGGGACTCCACTAAGATGGAAACTCTGAGGGCTTCTAGACAGCACCCTCGAAGCAGGAAATACAAACTGAGCCCTCCACAAGGCAACGGACACCTAGCTGCTGCCGAGTCATCGATGAGTGGAGGCTGGTTTCAGCCAGTACCACATGGCTCAAACAAAAGCTGAGAGACAGCATTCCTATTTGTGTGGGAACTTCAAGGCAATGACACCCCCTTTCTGTGCTTGTAGAAGCAAGAAAACCCATACTAAATGGCTTGCCAAAATTATATATATATATATATATATATATATATATATATATATATCATATCTTGTATTAATATCTGCAAACATTTTATAAATCTAAATAATTTTCCTCCTCACAGATTAAATATCAAGAAGTGCAAGCCAAATGTAGACCATTGTTGGCATGGAGAACCCAGCCCATACTGCAGCAAGGTAAGTTGTGTTTAATTAGCTGATTTTTATGCTCAATGAATCAGGAGTTTGAAATGAATGTTACAAGAAGGATATGCTGACTGCTTGGGCTCAATGGACGGAGGGAAATTTCAAGTAACTTATGAAGTATCCACTCAAGTGAGTCTCTCTGATGCTGAGGCTCTGTCTCTAACCTGGAAGACAGAACTTCCCAACTTTCTCTTTCTTTTTCTTTTTTTTTTTTAATTTTTAACACTTCCCAACTTTGAGTGCTGCTGTTGGCATCACAGGCCCGGGACTCAGCTATCTTCCTCAGCCCTTACACATCCTCAGCACAACACTTCCTGGCCAGCTGGCTCTTTTTTGCTCTAGTGAGCATTTCTCTGCTCATGTTCTTAAGACTGGCCATATTTTCTCAACATTTAAACACAGCCCACAATACATATATTTCCACAGCACAAGAACTGGGTATTTTAGATAAGGGATGCAATTTAGAAAAACATTCTCTGGGGTAGAAAATGGACCACATTCCATTTCACAATCATTTGTCCCTCCTCTGTGCTGGCATCAGCACATGAAGATTTCACTGGCCATCAGGCCACTGGATGGACTCAAATTGGGGAGAGCAGAGGTACTTCAGAGCCCAGTCTTGACTGTGACTGCTTTTGACACTAGCCACAACTCTAGATGTTGCACTTTTAGGAATTCTGCTCAGACTGTGACTCTGACATCATATAAAGGAAAGGGGGGGAAAAAGTGTGAACAATGATGACTACTTTTGAGCCCTACATCCTGACTATAGCTCTTATTCTCAACAAGAAAACATAATATAGTACAGTATAGCCAAAGCTTCTGAAACACAAACACACCAAATACAGAGCCTTAAATAACATAAAAGCCCATCTCTGTGTCAGAATGAGTGGTTTCATCTCTAGACCCAAAGTGGTTGCCTCAGCTCCAGTCATCATTACTATCTTTCATCACGGAAGTACTCTTAATGAAGGGGGAAAGAAGGGCAGGAAAGACTTTCCTTGTAAGAGTCTGACCTAGAGATGTCAGGCCTCACTTATGTTCACTAACACTGGCCAGAACTCAATCTCAGTTAGTTGTAATAAAGGCTTAGAAATGTGGTCTCTGGTGAGGCAGCATATGTCCTGCTACAGTCAAGAAATTCCATATGTAGTTGGTACTGGTTCTAGCATTGCTCAGCTCACCTGCTCCTCACTTACATGCCTGTGTGAAGCCGTAAACATTCGGTAGAAACCATCCTCTGTTTTCTAATCTGGATCTTTTCTTCAGACTAGTAATCTGTGGATTCTCTCTGGCAGTGCTAGTGAGCTCTAATCCACAGTTAGCCATGAGCATAGATAGTCATCATCACCACACAGCAGGACACTGAGTGGCTGACCCCTTTATGCTCAGTTCATTAGGTTGGGCCTGGGACTGTGGCTCAGTGGTAGAGCATTTGCCCTGCAGTTGTAAAGCTCTGGGTTTAAACCCTGGTGCTGCAAAGGAAACAAGAATCAAGGTGGACTATGAGACATAAATGGTGGACTTGCTCAGGGACCCAGGAATAGCCAGACTTCATTTCAAGCCAGGCTCAAAGGTTAATACACCTGCCCTTACAATGGCACAGTTAGGCGAGACACTTTGAACAGCGATGACACTGAGGCCCGAACTCACAGTGTCAATGGGATTAAAGCTAAGGAACCATCATTCCGAATACCATGAAAACTCTGTTAATATGTAAGAATGAAAAGATGGATATTGGGGAGGTTATTGTTGCTATAACAACATGCCCAAAGCTGGATAGTTTATGAGGAACAGAGGGATATTTAGCTCAGTTTTGGAGGCTGAAAGCCGAAGAGCAGACAGCCTTACTTGGCTATCTCTGCTGACGGCATCAGATGGAGGTGTGCAGAAGATAAGGAAGCCAGGGAGACCCAGGGACCAGGCTTCTCTTCAAGACTCAGCCCCACAAGACCTAAGCAGACCCCTTGAAGATCTAAGTCTTTTCCAAGGATAGTGACACCTATGCCAAATTGTCTCCCACAAGGCTAGACCTTAAGGGTCCTGCCTCTCTGCTTTAGCATACAAGGAACCACACTTCTCAACCTTCAGGAGACGCACTCCAGTCACCCATCGACCAAAGCAGCTGGTAATTGCAGGCAGGGGACGATGGTCCCTTGGTCAGGTTTTATCGCTGGATCTAATGAGAGGTCAGAATTTAGGATACGAACTGGAGATGGTACCAGTAGTACTCACTGATCAGACAGATTTTTATTCCTGGTCACAGGAAACAGTTGTACAACATAAAGACGCACAGCAAAATGGAATGAGAGAGGGTTTGAGCAACTCGAGTTGGGTAGTCTGATTGCTCACGTTTTAAAAGTCCCTCAATGTCCTATGGAGTTCCCATTTGTGAACAGGACTGGACATGGATGCCTGGAGTGAAGGGCTTGGAGCTGCAGAAACTTCTAGGAGTCAGCACAAGCCAGCAAGAAAGGCTCATGGAAAATTCCCACGTTCAGAAAGCAGAGTACCTCGTAAAAGCTTTATTTCTTTGAAAGTCTAGAAAATAGACCATGTCATTGCTTACCTGGCTTGTCCTGTTGAGGCCTAGAGAAACATCTAGCCCTGGTGTCAGAGAGGAAAGGCAGAATGGCTCTCCTCACATCACTGCCATCTCATCAGCTCCACCTGTGTCTGCTTGGGGACAAGGGAATGCCTGGAGCCTGGCTTCCATGCCACATATACTGTATATGAGAATAAACATTATCAGTTTCCTCAAGGCTTCCATGGGTCACTGTGAGGACAGGAAAGTCTGTGAGCATTTTTCTTTTCAGCTATGAAGTTTCCCTTTGGAGAAGAGGCCAACACCTTCCATCACACACTCCTTGCCTGCTCATCTCCCTATCTGTGTGCCCACCTCCCTGTCTGTCTGCTCACCTCCCTGTCTATCTGTTAACCTCCCTGTTTGTCTGCTCACCTCCCTGTCTGTCTATTCATCTCCCTGTCTGTCTGCTCATCTCCCTGTTTGTCTGCTCATCCCCCTGTTTGCTCTCTTCCCTGTCTATTCAGTGGTTGACAAAATGTGAAATCATCACAGAGGATGTGATGCATTTTAACATATCATTTTCCTTTCACAAAAAAGGGTGATATTTTAGGTTTGCATGTCAGTGGAGATGCTGAGATATTATGGAATGTTTCATCATCAGGTCAGAGGCTTAGGACAGGTCCTCACTCATGCATTCCTGCACTCCTTCTTTGGAACAAGGTGGTTTATAACACTTCCACTTTGATTAAAGTTTCTTGCAAGTGAAGAGAAGACCGGATAGAATATGAGCCTCAGAAATAGGCAATGACTACTGCTTATTCAGCAAACACCAAGGGCAATGGTAAATAACTGGAAGGCAGGGAAAGTACCTGGGAAAAGGCATGTCCATGATTCAGTAATTGGTTTTGAGTAAGGGAGCCGTGAAGCTGTGATCCGTAGGACTGCAAAGGACAGCACTTGTATTGTCCCAAGGGAGCCACGCTGAGCACTGTGAGCTCACAGGGATCTGTTCGGCAGCTTCTGGGTCACCTCCACATCCCCTTTGCCTACATCCGTGTCTCACGAGCCGCAGTAGCTGATGAGAGCCACCTGTGAAAGCTCTGGTCACATGTAGTAGCTTGTCAGCTCAGGCAAGCGAGTATGTAAATTATTTCAGGATGAGTTTTCTTTAAGAGATTTAGACAAAGGTAAGGCCTGAGATTGCTCACCACCCTTGAAAACTCTCCTGCAGGAAATGCATATCTCCTAAAGAAACACGCTCTCCCTGTCCCCTTCCTCACATGATGGCCTCCTTATTTATAACAATGAACTACCTTACTTCTCTCCCAAGCTCCAAGATCAGTGACATATCTGTACCTCCCAGTACAGCCCCGTTGTAATTATTTATGTGCTTTCTGCACTTTCAAAGTTGCCTTGTTTAGGAAATGTCAGAATTCCCACACAGCTGCTGGCCTGATGCTGTCTGGTTCTCTTTTAAAAGAACCAGCACCTGAAAACAGTCATAGTAGCTCAAGCCTGTCAGTCCAGGATTCAGGAGGCTAAGGTCAAAGGGCTGCTGTCATTTTGAGGTCATCCTGAGCTACATCCTGAGTTTGGGACCAGCCTGAGCAACAAAGTGAGACATAGCCAAACAGATACCAACACAAAGGCCCATGTTTCTAAGCTCTTTGAGGGGAGAATCTACCTGCTGTTTACATCATCCTAGTCATTTCCAGATACTTCCATGTGTCTTCTGTGAAGTCCATTTTTATTTCTTATTTAAGTGTTCACAAATGACATTTTTATATACTCAGGAGGTGCAATGAGAGGGACTGAGTCACATACAGACAAGGTAGAGTGAGCACAGCAGGGTGATTAGCATTACTTGTCACTTCCATCACATCTTACTGATGAGTGCATTGACTAGTCTTTCCTCAACACTTTGAGCTGTATGGTTTTACCATTGATCGTGTTCACTGTGCTGGGCCATAGTCCTGTCAACAGTTTTATGTCTCTCTCTCATTCCCTCTCCCTCCATCCAGTCTGGTAATGCTCATGCTATCAATGTCTATGAGAGTAGCTGCTTTAAATCTACATGAGTAGATGGCATGTGTCTATTTATGTCTGTGAGAACTCACTTCATTTCATAAATGCCCTTCAGCTCCATCATGCTGTCACAGATGTCAGGACTGCATAGATTTTTATGGCTAAATAGTATTCCACTTGTGTCTTTGCCATCTGCTGGTAGACATTTGGTTTGAGTCTATGTCCTAGCTCTTGTAAATAGCAATCAATTTGGGTTGTGGGCACTTTTTTAACATTTCGTTCACCTCAGGTATATTAAATGCTTTGAGATTGCTTGATCATATAGAAATTATGTTCTGTTTCTAGAAACTTCCACAATGGCTACATTAATTGATGTTCCCACAACATTGCACAAAGTTTCCTCTTGCCACGCATCTTATCACTTGCTCTTTTCCTTTTGAGAATAGCTTTTCTCACTGTGGTGAGAGCCCAGATAGACAAAGCAGTCTTGAGCAGAAAGAACAACTTGAGTCATTATATCTCAGAACACAGTAAGATTCAGCCATGCATGACATCGGCATAAAGACAGACACGCAGACCAATGATGTGGAGCAAAGCCTAGAAACAACCCCATGAGTTTACAGCCAATTGAATTTTTACAAGTTGCTAGAAATATGGGGAAAGGATAATCCTTTCAATATACTGCTGGGGAAGCTGGATATTCACACAAGAGAAAGAATCTACATCTCACCAAATACAAACAGCAACTCAAAATGGATTATAGTCTGAAATGTAAGACCCAAAACTTGAAAACCGCTAGAAGAAAACATAGGAGAAAAATCTGGGGACCTTGACCTTGGCAAGGTCAGAAAACAAAACCAAAAATTAACAGACAAGATTCCATTAAACTAAGAATTTTCTTCTTCACAAATGAAGCAATCAAGAGAGCACAGATGACAACTGACAGAATACAGGCAGCCGGTAGACCACAGATGACAAACAACAGAACACACGCAAACGTATTTGCAAATTGCTTATCTGACAAGAGGCTAATATCCAAAATACACAAGAAACTCGTGAGATGTAATGTCAAAACCCAGATAACGCAGCTAAAGAACTGGCTTGGGTCCATGCCTTCCATGTAAACATGGGTCTATTTCATGCTGCACCCTCCCCACAATTGACCTCTGCTGCTCCTCCCACCATTGATATCATCAGCTTTCTCTTTTCTCCTCTCTTCTTCTCCAGATGTCATATCCTGATGTTTAATCCCAGACTATTCCATGACCATGAATACCTTTGCTCCCTCTCCCTTTTGACCTCTCACGTTAATGCAGAAGGGTCTAGCTTGACTCCAGAGCCTCCTATAATGAATTGTTTCCAAAGATAAAACCAAAAGTAAAGACAGTTTGCGTGCCTTAAGCAGACACAGCCCACACAGTCCCCAAATCTGATGACTGCTTTTTCTCTTTTGGCTCCTCAGTCAACTCTTGAGACATATTAAGATCTACTTAGGAGGATGTTGAAAGGAAGTAAAGCAAAGTCCTTAATATAATGTAGCTGAGGTGTGACTGAAGGAAGAAATGAGGCTATATGGAATACTTGTGCCAAGCTACAACAGGGAGACTAAACCACCACTCTACTTTTAAAGCTTTCTTGCTCAGCTCCCCTTTCACTCAGTCTGGTCAGCTGCCCTGGCTTTAAGCTACCTTGGGTTTAAACTTCTCTCATGACACACACACAGATCTACCCAGAGCTGTGTTTCTAGGTGAGTCTAAAATCTAGTCAAGGTGAAAATAAAGACTGAACCTCACACATGCATTTGCAGACAGGCACGATAGACTGTGGACAATCCTTGCAGGAGAAGAAAGACTTTGGGTCTGCTGTGGTTGTGGACTCTTGTCATAGAGAGGTTAGAGACAGGATAACTAGACGTTAAGCATCTTAAGGGATTGGTTTTGGGGGGAGAACATATTTATCCTTCTCTGGTTTCTGAGCTGGAAAGGGAAACAGAAATCAAGAAAGGGCAGTGGCATGTCCCACCATCTGGGTATACACCTGCAGAGTTGGTTTGGTTCTCTGAACTGGCAAGTGAGGACAATGCAGGTGAGAGTCTGCTGACACGAGGTCTGGCCACCATTCACTTGAACACCCAGGTTCTGACACTGAACATTGAGAAGACAGAGTACAGCTCAGAACTGCACCCCACACAGTGGTGACTCAGTACTGTGTGGTCACACTGTGTTGAAAGTCCCAAATGACCTCAGCATCACAGTAGGTCTAGGGAGGGGGAAAGAAGTCACTGTGAAAAACTATATCTCTTCCTGCTAACACAGTATCATCTCAGAGAGGGGCAGTTGCCTGTTCAGGGAAGACCTGGGGCCTATGCTGGGTTAAGTGATTTTGCAAAATAGATCACAAACTGCAGGAATCACTTGGTATTTTTGTTACTGACCCAGAATCTTCTCGAAGGCTTATTGAATCTGATCAGTGCACATGCTAGACCAAGAGGGGCGTTAGATGATCTGTGTGATTCCTTCCACCTGGAAGTCTTGTGTTCTGACTTATCATACCATCGTCACAGCCAGAAAACAAACCATTCTTTTATTAATTTAACAATACCAATGGAGTATATTTCATTATTCCACACTCTACTGTGGGCCAGCATTTTAATTCCAGTAGCATGTTGCATTTCCACATGTCAAACAAAGTGGCAGTAAAAGAGCTCCTTTATCACTACGGAGATCTACTGAGCACTTGCAACTTACCATGTCCGGGAGCACTCCCTATGTGAGGGAGCACTCACCACATGACTAACTCACCACATTGTGGAACACTCAACCACAGGCTGGAGCACTCACAACAAATTGGAACACTTATCATAGGCTAGAGCACTCACCACATATTTGAAGACTCACCACATACTGGAACACTCACCACAAGCTGAAGCACTTGCCCCACACCGGAGCACTCATCACATACTACAGCATTCACGTGCTGAAGCACTCCCTCTGTGCGGGAGCATTGCACTGGGGGTTATGATAAGATAGTCATGAGAAAGACTTGGTTGTTTTTTTTTTTCCTCAACGCCTACACTACCAGAAAGAAAATAAATCTTATTGACACTAAAGAGCAATGCTAGTAGTTATGAAAAAAATAATAGTAGTTATGAAAAAAATTCAAGGCCATGATTCTATTCTTCTCAGCATCATGATTCCAATTAAGTTATTCATGCTCTCTATGGAAGAATTGGCACACTTTTTTGGGTTTAAGTTTCAAATAAAAATTGAAAAAGCCTTTGGGCCTTAGTCCAGCACTGCAATAAGAGGTTTCAGAATGACACTTTGTACTTAGCCGCTCTCTGATGTCAAGTCTTCTGGATAAACTAGATTGCTCAGATGGTCTGGAGATTGCTCAGATAGTCTGGGAGATTCTGGAAACACAGGACTTGAGGGTTATTGTGGTTGGTACCATAAATTTTAAGCCAGTTCTTGTTGAAAGGTTTTGGTTTTATTGCCTAGTACACAGGACTCCACAGGTGGGAAGCTGAGACCTGTGTCTGATCCTTCTACAGATGAGCCATGAAACCTTGGATCTGACTGATGTTCCAGTGTGCCTGTCAAACTGTGAATTATGACAGACATCTGTGTGTGTCTGTTTTCACTTGTTGGATTCCTAAGCATTTAGCATTTTTCAGAATAACCATATTCCCTAGGATTAGCATATTCTAAAAGGATGGTGTTTGCTTGTTAGATTTGGCTTGGTTTCAGATTTGGTTTTGATTTCTTTGAGATAAGTGGCTGGAACTCACTATATAGTCCTGGCTGGCCACCTTAGTAATCCTCTTGACTCTACTTCCTGAGTTTTGGGTTTATAGGTGGGTGACAAGATTTCTTTTTTTTAAGGGTAAGTATGTATGCACTGTACTGGCTAGTCAACTAGACACAACGTAGAGTCATTATTACGCCCAGTTCATGAGACCTCCCAAAGACCACCAGGAATTGACTCTGCTGCAAAACACATGAGGGTTTATTTAATACAAGCTTGAGCCTAGGTTGCAAAACTTCCTGTGGAAGCAGGAGAGGAATGTGGTGGGATGGGCTAGGGGAACAAGGTTTTTAAAGGGAAAAACTGCAAGCAGGGAGTTACATGCCTTGGGGTTACATGATTGGGTAAGGGAAATTGACTTTTGAAATGATTGGTTTACCTTAGGCACCAAGTCTACAAACAGTTCTGCCCTGACCATCTGGGTCAGTTTCCTAGCAACTGTATTTCTACTGGGCAGGAAAAGAATGCAGTAAGGCTAGTTCCTCTCCACAGGTGGCTGGACATGTCTCCACCTGGCTAACCTTCATTTAGGCTCTTGCTTTAACTTTAAAGCAATATCACACCCTCCCCTAAAAAAAAAAAAGAAAAGAAAAGAAAAAACACCTTATTTTTAATTATTTGGTCTCTCATCATCCAAAAGGAAGGACCCTCGATTGAGAAAATGTCTCCATAAGATCTATCTGTAAAGTGTTTTCTTAATTAGTGATTGAATGGGGGGGGGGATTCCTGCCCATTATTGGTGGTTCCAACCCTGGCCCGTGATCCTGTCTTCTATAATAAAGCAGGCTGAGCAAGCCCTGGGGAGTGCCCCTTTGTGGCCTCTGCACTGGCTCCAGGTTCCTGCCCTGCTTAAGTTCCTGCCCTGACTTCCTTCAATGATGAACAGCAACTAGAAGTGTAAAGAAATAAACCCTTTTCTCCCCAACTTGCTTTGTGGTCATGGTGTTTCATCCCAGCAATAGAAAGCCTAACTAAGACAAGTACTGTCAGCTCTGTAATTATCTTCTTTATTTAAGTGATTAGCCAGTAGCTTTGAGGTTTCTTCCTACTTAAACAATTGAGCCATTTGAGGAAGTAGCGAAGCTGCATGGAGTAATGCAGGAATCTTTCCTGCCTGATCTTATGAAATGGTCTCACTCTTCTGTGTTTACCAGAGCTTCTCCTTGTGAAGCTGAACTTCAGGAACTGATGGAACAAATCGACATCATGGTGAGCAATAAGAAGCTGGACTGGGAAAGGAAGATGCGGGCTTTAGAGACACGATTAGACCTTCGGGATCAAGAGTTGGCTGACGCCCAGACTTGCTTGGACCAGAAAGGCCAGGAGGTACTGAGCACACATGTCAGTAAAGTGTTCACCATCAAACTCAGTTGTCACTCACAATTCTGTCAGCAAATGCAGTGTTAAATGTATGCTATCTGATAGGTGCAGAGACTAAACTAAGTCAGGTGTTTAGTGATGGAGACAGACTCACCACATCAATGCTGCCAGTAAATGTTAACAGGCATTTAACATATATGTGTAATAACATTGTTTGGAAACAAAGGTAAAAACACTTTGGCTAGTAGCTGACACGGAGGCCAAAGCTGTCTTTGTTCAACACAGTTCAGGAGAGTTTGCTTCTTCTCATCTGCTAGATAATAATCTGTGAAAAAGCGTATCCAAAGTAAATTGCCAAAGGAGAGTACAGTGATGAAAGTGTACATGTGTGTGTGCTTGCTTGCGTGTGTGTGTATGTGTGTGTACACATGTGTGAGTACGTGTGGGGCACGCGTGCATGTGGGGTGCCCACTTAGGAAGGTTTCCTTCTATTCCATGGCTGCTCACTGCTGAGCTGGTGCCCACAGGAGAATGTGGGGTTACACGTGCCTTTGGGCTTGAGGAAAAGCACACACAGACTTAAATGTCTAGGCACTACGCTGAGAGGCATAAAAGGAGAAAACTCTCCAGTCAAGAATCACATATCATCACAGATATTTTCATCAGCCACTTTCCAGCTCTGTTGACTTCTGGATGGAACCTGGTTTCAGCAAAGCTAAGGGTGTGAGTGTGTGGCACATGGATGTGGCTGTCGGTTCTGGTTTCCCTCTGCGGGAAAGGTCCTGGCATATGCAAGGACCTGTAATGGCACAAACATTGCCATTACAGTGCCTCGTTTGTATTTAAAGAGAATAGTCTAAATTCTTAAAAGTGCTCTTAAACATTTTTATTTTCTCGTTAATATGTTAGTTCTAATAAAATGCAACAAGTATCCATAATGCCACTAAAGTGGTAAGGAATGGAACCTAACCCAAAGAAAATCCTTGAATTACATTAGCAGAACTTTTACATGAGTAACAATGGCACAGCCTCCTAAACACAGATTACATTCTAAATCTTAATTTAAAATGTGACAGTGCCAAGGATCTCTTGTTAAACACACATCCATACTGTCCTATTGCATAGCCAGTGGACAGGGCTAGCGACCTTTGGTTTCTGTGACTTCAGTTATTAGTGCTATTCTAAGAACTACCAGACAAACATTCACTTATGGCTCAGTGCAGAAGTTTTACTTGGCTCGCACCTCTCCTTTGCTCATTTTCTGATTTTTTTAAGGTAAAATTCAGAAAAAGCTAATTTAAAGTTTGTTTTTAATGCAGGTGGGGTTACTTCGACAGAAGTTGGACAGTCTAGAAAAATGTAACTTAGTAATGACTCAGAACTATGAAGGACAGCTACAGACCCTAAAAGCTCAAGTAAGAGAGTCTGTTAAATGGAACGTTACATACTTTCATACATATTTTGACCTATAAAATTTTGTTAATTTTTTTTAAATTGTTTTACATACAAGCAAATAGTCTTGAGTCTTAATGGCATATTTATCTCTGGCTTTCATTATCTTATGTGTCCTGATTTGTCTCTCTTAATAGACTGTCAGCTTGGATACCATCTGCTCTGCCTTCACTATGACAGGGTACTAGACAAATAACTTTGTTTCCCCAAAGGCAATTTCTTGTAATTATTAGTTATGAGAACCAACAAAACCCAAAATTCACTTCTGTGGTTATTTCCTAATAAGGGTAGGCTTTCTTCCTCAGCAAACTAAAGTACTGATGTTTGCTCCTATGAAGTGAGTAGCTGAAAGAACCAAGTTGATCTTGCTACTGATGGGGTGTTCGTAAACGGCAATGCCACTGCAAAGGTCAATCTGTCACCCATCACTGCAGCCCTCCCACTAGGCTTGATCAAAGTCTCCTACCACAGATGTCGCATAGGGCAGGAATCACCTCAGCATGGCAGGCCAAGCAGCTGCCGGGGCCTTTAACCAACCATAGAGTCAGTAGGAGATTTGATTGTGAACTTTTACTACCAACTTTTCTTGGATAGCAAAATTTCATGTGTAATAACCTAGCTAATGTAGCCTGGAATATCCAATGATCCTCCTTACCTACCTTTTCTAAAAAGGGGAGTCAACTGTTGAAAATAGAATAGGAAACATTTGAAAATGTTTGTCTGCATTTTCCTGCAATTAAGTCAAGTACCACTAGAGGACAGCTTATATTATGAAAATGTGTACAGATTTGAGACCAGAAGCATCTAAAACCTATCACAATCTTTTTTTTTCCCCCTCCTACAAAGATAGCAACTCAAATCTGAATGACAGTCAAGTGTGGATATGTCTGATAGTTCTGGAGAGGTGGATAGCTGTGTCTCTCTGCCCTCCTAAGCACAGTTGAAAGCCCTGGACACTGAACACAGCACATGAACTTTATAGAAAGCAGAAAGAAGAGCCAGGCTGCTTAGGGAGCTTGAGAGCCAACACGGGGCAACTCACTAGAATTTGTTTTAGCATCATCACACAACCCAGCCTGTATAATGGTGCAGACAGACAGACAGTGAGCAAAGCACAGAAAGTTGTGTGCATATAATCTGATGCTTGGAGGAATGGCTGAAAGAGATACAAAGACACACATCTAGAACCCTATCTATAACTCATAGGAGAGCCTTAAAAATATCCCCATGGCCCACAGGAAGACAAGAAAGGAAAACCAAACTGCAAACTAGAAGAAATCAGAAAACAAAACATAAGAAGCCAAGCTTAAATTGAGCATATCCATGATTATATTAAACAGAAACGGTCTAACCACACAAATTAAAGCGTGCCAGATACATGAAAACAGGACCCAGCTCAATGAGTTGTTCAAGGAATTTTCTTCAGATATTATTATACTGGGAAGTTGAAAGTAAATAGAAAGCCAAAACTACAGCATGTTAAATTTAAAAAATTAAAGAGGTGTGCTGCCAAGACAATTTAACAGAAGAGATTAGTCCTTCAACAGGCACCCAGAGACAGCTAAAGAATGTGCTAGGAGAAGCAGGTGAGATGGACCTTGAGTCTGTCAGCAGCAGCTTCAACACAAAAAGAATCAGTAGAAACAATAAACAGATACTCAGAAATCCCCTCAGGTGCTATCATATGATCTATAGACATACATGAAAGGATGAGCCAGCTATTACATCAATTGCATTATTGTAAGAATTGTCAGCAGAAGACAGCATTAAGTAAAAGAGAGGAAATTTTGTAGCTTCTAAGAACTGTTAGTTTTGCTGCCTGTTTACAACTGAAACAAAACTGAACAAAACATCAAGTGAGTCACAGAAGAGTCATATCCAGCCTCAGTAGCTGAGCTGTAATAACAGGATCCATCCTCGCTAACCGGAACACTTAAGTTTTACTGCCCTTTCTAAGAGCTGTGTGACAAAGAAATATCATGAAGGCCAGCTGTAAGTAACTGTTACTATCTCCTATCATTTGCAGTTTTCTAAGCTAACCAATAACTTTGAAAAGCTGAGATTACACCAAATGAAACAAAACCATATTCACCGAAAGGAAGCCCCCACCAAAGAAGACATACCCTTTGAGCTGAGCAGTTTGAACCAGAAGCTAGAGGTGAGCGCACACACCAGTTTCTTGTGCTCTGAATGTGGACTTGGTTGTGTTCTGAGATGAGATGGTCTGTAGATGTGGACTTGGTTTGTTCTCTGAGGCGGTCTGCAGATGTGGACTTGGTTTGTTCACTGAGGTGGTCTGCAGCTGTGGAGTTGGTTTGTTCGCTGAGGTGGTCTGCAGCTGTGGAGTTGGTTCTGTTCTGTGGTTGTCTGTTGCAGATGTGGACTTGGTTTGTGCTCTGAGGTGGTCTGCTGCAGATGTCGGCCTGGTTTCCAGGCACATGGCACTCAGCATGGCCCCTCAGTCCACCTTCTGCCTCAGGTTCTTAGTAAATTAAAAAATAACTATGATTTATAATATATCCTATATATAATGCATATAGGGAGAGCTAAAAAATGTACAAAGACTTTTCAGCTGTTGAGTAGAAATGAAGGGCACCCCTGGGGTCAGTTAAACTGAATACCTAATAAATCTTTTAATGTCCACTTAACTGTTAGACACTAAATTCCAATGAGCCTCTAACTGTTTTCAAGAGCTGGGCCTGTAGGCCCAATTTGTTTGGTTTTCTTTAAAGACATAGTACCTTTTAAGTAGTCCCATATCATGGAGAACTTCTAAAATCCATCTCTGCAAAGGTTCAGTATGTTACCCAGATTTTCCTTCTCATCCTTTTAGCTTTATAGCTTTAGAAAACACAAATCTGCTGTCCTCCTGCACTCTTGAGAAACCCTGTGGAGAACATTGAAGGTATGCAGTCTCCACGAGCCCCTGACAGCTGGCTTGCTGGGCGCCAGTGCTGCTTAGGGCAGAGGAGACTACTTTTTTCTTAATCTTTGTATTGTCCAATTCCATTTCTTTCATTCTTCTCCAGTCCTAAGCCCAGCAACCCATCCCCAGACAAGAGTCTCATTTCTCCTACTTCTAAGCTCAGGATGATCCTATACCTCCCAGTGACCAAGGTCAGAGACAGTTTAGGGATCTTTGGCCTTTCTCATCCTTGTCATTCTTCAACTGGGTCTGCCCTTGACCTTCGTCCTATCTCCTTGTCTTCTTATCACCTTACTGTATCTTCTCTTTTTTCTTACTTCTTCTACTCCAAAATATCTGTTTAAGCAGAGAGAATCACAGTTTGAGACCATAGCCATGGAACTAGCCAGTTTAGTAGAAAGCCTAGGTATTACCTTCAAAAGCCACAGTGAATAGCACTCACAGAAATCCTGACACTTACTCCCAGCCTCTCAAAGGGGGTGACTGGCCTCGCAGGAAGTGCTCAAGCACAGGCCCTGTAGAACACACCCCTCCTTGGCTTGTAAGGTAAGAACACCCCCTGTGTAATTGGTTGGCTCGCTTCTGGGAAGGAGTCACATACATGTACATGCTTCTAACATACACATCCTCATGGAGGTATGCAAAAGTATTTTAAGTAAATACAGTATAACTTGGATGATTGTAAAACATCTCGCATAGCTGCTTTCTTAAATTCATCTGAAAACATGTAGATGATGGGCTGCTCTTGTTTTGGAGCATGTAGCATGTTCTCCTTTGGGCCAAGCATGTTGAATGCTATAGTACTAGGACTAGGGACACCGTGTGTGCAGTAGGAGAACGTCATGGCTTGTAGCACAGAGCATCCCCTAGCCTACCCGTTTATTCACCTTGTGACCTTTAGGCAGTGTTAGCATCACAGAAGTCTCATCATCCCTTCAGGAAATTAGGCTAATGGGACTGGGGGACAGTTCCATCCATAATGTGCTTGTCTCGCAAGCATGAGGACCTAGGTGCAAATATATACATTTATATGTAGGTACATGCTGACACATTTAGGGGTAAAAATGCAAGAGTTCAAAAAGGTCCCTTAAAATACTTCAACAAATTAGGGTGAGAAATGAAACGGACTCTTAGTGACAGTTAAACTGGGTAAATATTGTGTGGTTTGGGTTACTCTATACTTTTACGTAAGTATGAAAAGTTTTCTAATAAAAAGTTAAGATTATTTTGTCATGTGTAGTCGCTGACGCATCACTAAACACAGTTTCTCAGTGTTTAGAAGAGGGCTCTTAAAACAACAAAAGAAAACAGAATTAACACTCCAGTTATCACCAGGAACACTCCTTTTCAGGACCATGACCCATGCTCAGCCCCTCGGAGATGGCTTTGTGGTCCTAAGAATTGCCCCTGGAGGGCTGGGTGACCCCAGAGGGCTGAAGTCCACATCCTCCGTGCCAACATCCAGGAAGTCCCACACTTCTGAACACACCACTCTGGCTGCCTAACCTTGGAAGCAATACCTCTGATTGCCCGAGGAATCTGGACTGTTCTCAGCACCCACTGATATGTCTGTGACACTGTCTAGCCAACATGGACCTCATCTACACTGCTCTAGGCCTTCTGAGCTGAGGTTAATGCTACCATCTCCCTCTAAAGCATGCTGGGGGATACTTCTAATCTCAGCATTTTGGAAGTTAAAAGCAAAGCATCTTGAGTTCAAGAGCTATGGCTCAACACCAAGCACCTTTCTAAAAAATTTAAAACATATTTTCTGTTTAAGTCAACCCTTATTCCAATTTTTGCTATTTTTCCCCTAAAGAGCTCTTTTTAAATTAAAAAAAGTTTTAATTAATTCCCAAAGTTAGCATACAAAATAATGGGTTTCTTCATGGTATCATCATAAATATTGAAATCAAATTCTTGAAATCTAACTTGCATTGATTTTTAAATGTTACCCATCATCTATTTGGAAGCTAATTTTGTAAGTGTATCACTGTTACTGATGACTCATTTGCTACCTAAATTTTACATCCTTGAGTATCAAAATCAGTCCACAACACTAAATGGACTCTCTCCAACACCCTCATAAATAGAGCCTGCCATAAGGTATTTTTATATATGTGGGAAGTGTGTGCCCACATTTCTCTAGCCATATTTCCACCACATGATACTATAAAGTCTTTCTCACTTACAGATCTCCTTCACTGATTAGGACTTGTATATATATTAAAAAAAAAAAAACTTAATTTCCCCAAAGATTCTTCAAAATCATTTCTGTGTAGGAAATATGAAAAATGCTGTTTTTCTCATCCTAAGCAAGATACAGTTTGCATTCTCAGAATCAACACAGTTTCTTTCCAGCATGGCCCAGCCAGTGCCCACAGACATTTTCAAAGCACTCCAGGCAAGCATGCCACGTTCCAACTTAACATTGTAGGAAAAAAATATCCTTGTGGCTTTTATATGACAGTTTTACTGTACTTGTATACTATAATGGCTTGTTTAAACGCCATGCTGCTCCTTTGCTATATATTCCTTTAAAAGTGGGCCAGGGGTTAGCCATGAAACTGTTCCACCAGGTGCCGTAAGCAGAGCATGGAGCATGCAGTCCTCTATGGCAGTTTCCTAAAGCCTGGACAGAAAGGCAGAGGCCAGCCCAGAGGAAAGTGTGAAGCAGGGATATCTCTGGCACCTCTGAAGCCGTGTCCTTTGCTCACAGAGTGAATGGACAGGACCACCGTGCTCTACATGGCATTATTTGACCACATGCTTGAGCAACTGAACATGCTGTATCCAGGAAGTCCCATGTTTTCTTCCCCAACTGACACATTTCAATGAAGCCCCAGATTGGTTTTCTGTTCCCCAAGTAAGCTGATTTTAGTTTCACCCTATACATAGTGGCTTTGAAAACCAGTGGCCAATAAAGCCAGAATCTTAGCTCAGGCTACTATAGCAGGTCGCAGAAGCTGGGAAGTTTAGACAGGGTGAGATTCTGATGAGGGCCTCTTGGTTCGTGGACAGCGTCTGCTGGTTGTACAGCAGGAAGAGGGGGGAATGGGATAAGATTCTTATCTTTTGTTGGGAGTGGATGTATATGTTCTTGAGAATATGTGCACGTGTGGGAGCCAGAAGTCACCATCAGGTGTCTTCCTCAATCTTTCTACTTTTTTGGTTTTGTTTGTTTGTTTTTGCTTTTGTTCTTGTTTTTTGAGATAGGATCTCTTGCTGTGACACTATTTGGCTAGAATGGCTAGTCCAGGGATCCTCCTGCCTCTGCCTCCCCAGCAAAGGGACACCAATGTACCATCCAGGAATTTTATCCTCTGAGTGGTGATTGAACTCAGGTCCTCGTACTTGCACAGTGAATGCTTTACAGCTGAGCTGTCTCCCAGATACCTGTCTGTCTGTCTTTTCTTTCTTTCCTTTCTTCTTTCCTTTTTTTTTTTTCATTTTTTCTTATTTTTATTTTTCAAAACTAGGTTTTGCTGTGTATCCCAGGCTGTCCTGGAACTCTCTCTGTAGGCCAGGCTGACCTTGAACTCAGAGCTCTGCCTGCCTCTTTCTCCTGAGTGCTGAGATTAAAGACATCCACAGCCATTCCCAGGCTGATCCTTGTATTTCTTAATATTTTATTACAAGGATCCTAACCCAGCTCACACTGATTCGAGGATCATAACTCAATCACCTCCCAGAGGCCCAGCTTTTAGCTTCATGTCCGTGAGCATTAGGCATCAACATCTGCCCTTAAAAGAGGCACGAACACTGCGTTCATGGAGCTTGATAAATAGACATCTTTCTAAAAGAATTATTGTATTTTTAAGTATGGGGAGGGTCTGTGCACATGAACGCTGCTGGTGCCTGCTAGGCCAAAGGTGGCATATCCCCGGGAGCTGGCATAGGTGCTGGAAACTAAACCCTTGTCCTCTGCAAGAGCAAACATGCTCTCAATCACGGAGCTATCTCTCCAGCTCCTGAGCCTCTTAAGTAATGAGAGAACATGCCCAGCGGCAGAGTATAGAGAATTGAAGGAAAGCATCTGAGAAATGGACAGGAAGTGCCAGCTGGTGCCAAAGGCTGTTTGATTCCCCCTTGTTAGCACTCACCCTTTACCATATGAGCAATCTATGCTTTCAATAATGTGTGAGATTTCTATGTATGTTAAAATTTCTCTAATTCCCTCAAAAAAAAAAAAAAAATGGAATACACAGACCAGGCACACCTATTCTGAAAATCTGAAACGCCTAAATGCTCCAGAATTTGAGGCTGTCTGAACAGTGACACAATGTCACATAAGGTCACTTTTTATCCGAGTATGCACAGGGTGTGTGAAACAGATGATCGTGTGTTTAGACCCGGATGGCATCAGCAAGGCATCTCATAAATATGCAAATAATCCAAAATCTGAAATGAAACTCCCTGGTCCCAAGTGGTTCAGACTAGGAAGCTGAGCAGGTAGTAATCAGTCAATGTGTAATTCCGTCATTTTCTTGTTTGTTTTCCTAATAGGTAAAGGCTTTTTTCTCATAATGCGGAACACAAAAGGAAGCCCTGCTCATTGCACTCTTAGTGAATGATAATTTTCTATTTGTTTATCTTCCCATTGTAAAAGGAATTTAGAACGAAGTCGAGCGAGTGGGACAAACAAGAGATACTCTACCAGACACACCTGGTGTCTTTGGATGCGCAACAAAAATTACTATCTGAAAAATGTAACCAATTTCAGGTAAAGTATTACTGTTGTCTAATTAGAAAACATAATTAGAGGCTAATTACTACTATCCTGGCTATTCAGTATGGGATCTACTTACTCATGGAAATGTGACCTGAGAGGGACAGTAACGGATGGGGGTCTGGTGGGTCTGGTGTGAACCCTTTGTGACCATGACTTTAGCCTCTGTGTCTGAAAGTCGGGTGCTGCTATATCTTCACACAATGTACACTTTTGGACAGTTTGGGCAAACACCCGTAATCTCTGCGCTTGGGGGTCACAGGCAGGAGGGTCATGAGTTTGAGGCCAGCCTGCACTACGTAACAGGATTCTGTCTCAAAAAAAAATTAAAATTAAAAAAAAAAGCAAGGCGAGACCAAAACAGAGTATCCATCCACATGGTTTTCCACGTCTCTGCCCACCTGTAAGGCTGAGCACGTCCTCGTGTGCTTGGTAGGTAGCACTTTTCACATTCTCCGCTGGGCATCATTCCCTCACGGCCTGTGCCTTCTGCTCTGTGCCACTTGCTTTTCCTGTAGATATGTAGAGGTTTACAGATTAAGAATTACTAAAATCAACTATGTGTTGTTTTTCCTCCTTCTGTTTCAGGTTGTTATTTCTTTACCATAGAAGCATTTTTCAACTATTATGTAATTGAATTCATGTTTCTCTTTTTATAGTTTGTAGACTTCCTTTATTAATTAATAAGACCTCTCCTCCTCTAGGCCCATGCTCTATAGCTTTGCTCCAAGGTCATGCAGATACATTTTTTTCTTCATATCATGTGAAATTGAGATTATAAAGAAGCATAACACTGCACTGTAAAAGCCAAGCTTCATATTAAAAGATATCCTCACTAATTCTTTTGTTTCTTCCCCTCTTTAGAAGCTTAAATATGGCATTCTTCACTCAGTTTACCTGGTTATCATATTTCTCAGAAACAGGCACAAAATTACCAAACTCAGCTAAATGGGAAGAAGCAGTGCTCAGAGGACAGCAGCCCAGAGATCCCTCGCCTGGCGTGTGAATCAGATCCTGGCTGTGAACCCAGCCAAAGAGATGAATTCATTATTGAAAAGTTAAAGTCGGCCGTGAGTGAAATAGCACTGAGCAGGAACAAGTTACAGGACGAAAACCAGAAGCTGCTGCAAGAGCTGAAGATGTACCAGAGGCAGTGCCAGGTGAGGGCCGTGTTTTCAGCTTCATTTCCAACCGTTGCTGACGAGCTGTACAGATACCAACTTAAAGGGGTACAGACAACTGTAGGACAGCTTTCTGTTACACTATCAACAAAGGTCAGACCTCCTCTCCACACGTGATTCTCACCTGAATACACTCAGTCATCGGGTGGGCACGTTGGCCTCGGGAGTCTTGTAATGGCATGATGACGAGGTGTGATATCACCAGTGCATTGGAACAGCAGCCGCAAACCTTTGTGCTTAAAGTCCACACCCCAGTGTCCAGCCATCACCCACTTCCCTGCTGTCTTATTTGCAGGTTTATTTGCAGCTACTCTTTGTGATTTATCGCTGGTAACTCCACATGTCTGTCCTCTTCCCACCACTGTAAACAAACAAACAAACACTTGAGGTAATCCTTGAAGATTAAAGGTCCCTTTAGGCTCACGGTTCTGGAGGGGCCTGGTTACCTCAGGCCTTCGGTGGTTTGAAACATCATGATAGGAGAGAAAGGTACACTAAAACCTCATGTCCCGCAAGCACAAAGGTGAAGGAGGACAGGCTGGAGTGTCCACTGGACCCTACTTCCCAAAGGTCCAACCCCCCGGCCCATAGAAACTCTGTGGAGACTAAGCTTGTAGCACACAGGCCTTTGGGCAATCATCAATATCTGATCACCAGCCCCTAAGCCTCCGCTGAGCAGTCTTCTAGAACTGAAGGTCACAGTGACATCATCAGATTGACAGACTGACAGCTTTGTCTTCCTTAAGCCAGCTTTCTGTTGTTGTTTTCCTTTCTACTGTTTGAAATTAACAGAGAGGTTTGGGAACAGCATCCTTCAAAACCAGTCGATGCTGAGCCCATAACCTTCCTTTGTGCATTCAGACACTTGAGACATCCTTACCAGCCTTTCTCTGCTTCTAGTCCTCCTTTCCCACCTCCAAACATTGTTGCTGTCTATTGTTTCCTTCATTCATTTCACCCATTTCTCAAGTCCTCTCATCTCCCCATCCTAAAGCACACTTCCTGGGCAGACACCCATATTTTCTGCTCTTCAACCCTCAGGATCATATCTTAGTCCTGGGCCAGCTTCTCCTTCCCCACACCACAGTGTCACCTATGGGGCCATCCGGGAACATCTGCTCTTGCCCTGAGTTTGAGAGGGGACAGGTCACAAGGCCCCCACATTCTCTCTTCCAGTGGCATTTCTGAGAGACCTGTATCTCCCCCATCTTGAACTACAGCTTCTTCTGGAAAAAGACATTATTCTAACGTTAACTGGAATACAGGTGTAAGCAAACAGACCAGATTAAACTGAAAACACTAGACACTGAAGAACCAGGCATCCTGTAGACATAGGATAGGTATGGTGGCTTCTTTCCTGGTCCCGTCATGGCCTAACATCAGCCGTTCTCTTTCTGGAGGTTGCCCAGGGTCTCCTAGTATTCAGCTTGCTAGTTACCCACCTGCCTGTGAGAGCTATTTGCACAACTGTGCTGGTTGCAGTAGGATCCTCTCCTCCTCTGGGATGGGACATTGGTCCCACCTTCTGTGTGAAGACAAGCCAAGTGTACATTTCCCTGATGTCTGCCCTGCTGGAGCCTGAACCAAGATCACACTCAATGAATGCACAGCTTATTTTTTCAGGTCCTTCCAAAATACCCTGCCCTGGGCTTCAGTTTATGCTGCATTGACTGAAGAGCTTTGTGGTTTGTCTGCTCCTGGGCCCTTTTTGGCCCTGGTCCCTGCAAGACTGTTCCCTGCAGTGCTTGCTGAGCCAGCAGGGACAGACCTGAAGATCCACAGAGCTTTGCCAGCCAGGACTGTCTTACTGAGCAGTGAGCTTCAGGTTCAGCAAAAGACCCTGTCTCTCTAACTCATAAAAATAAAGCAAGGTGGAGAGCAAGAGCAGATAGCCAAGGTTCACCTCTGGCCTCCACATACATACATGTGCACTCTCTTCCACAGGCATGCACATACACACAAATCACGTGAACTAAAAAGCAAACAAAATCATTGTGGAATATGTTCAAGAAAAAAAATATCTGTTGTCCTAATAAAAATATTTTCAAAGTAATTCAAGATTTCTCTTTAGAAAAAGCACCAAGAACCCTGCTTTTTCATTCCTCCCCATTTCATTTCTAGATATCACCCATGACCTGTCCTTGTGTTTTTCAGTTAATTTGAAGGTTTAAAATCACTGATCCTCTCAGAGCATTAGAAAATTCCTAACTAAACAGATGGGCCTTAGATTTGTTTTTCAAAAAATTTGCATTTTACTAAATAAAGAAAGCTAAAGGTAAATAATATTGGAACCAGAATATGCATTTGTAAAAAAAAAAAAAAAAAAAAAAAAAAAAAAAAAAAAAAAAAAAAAAA